CCCATATCCCATAATCCCTTTATTTTTTAAAAATCTGTCAGTCTCAGCCTTGAAGATGTTCAAGGACTGAGCATCTACAGCCTTCTGGCGTAGTGAATTCCATAAATTCACTACCCTCTGAGTGAAAGAAATGTTTCCTCAACTCTGTTCTGAAAGGCTGACCCTTAATTTTAAGACTGTGACCCCTGGATATAGATTCTCCTACCAGGGGAAACAGACCCTCAGTGTCTACTTTATCCAGCCCTTTAAGAATCTTATATGTTTCAATAAGATCTCCCCTAATTCTTCTGTACTCTAGAGAATATAGCCCTAGTTTATTCAGCCTATCCTCATAGGTCAGTCCCCTCATCCCAGGAACTAACCGAGTGAATCTACACTGCAGCCCCTCTAGGGTAAATAAGGAGACCAAAACTGCATACAATACTCTAGGTGCGGTCTCACCAAGGCCCTATACAGTTGCAGCAAGACTTCCCTACTCTTGTACTCTAAACCTTTTGAGACTAGTGTACAAGGATACCCAAATCCCTCTGAACACTAGCACTATCTAATCTCTCCCCCACTAGAAAATAATCTGATTTTCTATTTTTTCGACCTAGGTGAATAACTTCACACTTCCCCACATTAAATTCCATCTGCCACCTACTCGCCCACTCCCCCAGCCTATCTATATCCTGTTGCAATCTTTTTGCATCATCCTCAGAGCTTACTCTCCCACCTAGTTTAGTGTCATCCGCGAATTTAGATATGTTACATTCAATGTCCTCATCTAGATCATTGATGTAAATTGTAAATTGCTGAGGCCCAAGCACTGATCCTTGTGGCACTCCACTAGTCACATCCTGCCAATTCGATAATGACCCGTTTATCCCTACTCTCTGTTTTCTACCCGTTAGCCACTCTTCAATCCATGCTAATATGTTCCCATTAATCCCGTAGGCCTTAACCTTGTGCAATAGCCTTTTGTGTGGCACTTTGTCAAATGCCTTTTTAAAATCTAAATATACTACATCTACTGGTTCCCCCCTATCCAACCTGCTAGATGCATCTTCAAAAACTCTAAAAGATTAGTTAAGCATGACTTCCCTTTTGTAAAGCCATGTTGACTCTGCCTAATCTTGTTATGGTCTTCCAGGAATCCCATAACGACATCTTTAATTTAGGACTCAAGAATTTATTAAGGACTCCAGAATTTACATTTCATACATTTCATAAACATTCTAGATCTCCGACAGTACCTGCAGTATTGGGTTGAACAGTCAGTGGAAAATTGTAACTTCCAGCATGTTTGCTAACCAGCAATTTACTGCCTGATGTTTTTTAAAAACTTTATCTTCCACTGTGGTAAAAAGACTGCATGGCGCAAAAACATTTGCCTTCAAATTAAAATTTAAATTCCCGTGTTCGATAATGGTGTAGAAACTGTTTTAAAGTTACTAAGTTAGCTCATTTGCTTGCCAAAAATAATCATGTTCCTAATCCATATTGTTTGAAAGGTATTGGAGTTAGTTTCCATGTAATAGTCCTGGGTAAGCAAAGAAATTGCACATACTGTAACTAGACATGAATATAACTGGACACAACATATCATTAATAACTATTCATAGTAACAGTTGGAATGTTGCATCAATTCACATATTGAAATGGTTATAATTTTTCACATTAGAATTGCATATATATGTGTACATAAATCAGAATTTTGGATTTCCAAACCATTCCCCAGTATTATGAATAATTGTAGCACTAGTCAAACAGAACAGGAGTCAGTGCTGCCAATTTATTAGTTCATGACAGCTCTTTATTTTTCTCATTTCCCTGCTCTTTCTCTATATCGCTTAATATACTTCCCAATTAGCTATCCATCTCCCGCTTAACTAACTTAATTGATGTATGGCTGCCTGGGAGATTCCTTGTTTTCTCAACCCATTGTGTAAAGAAATGTTTTCTGATGTAACTTTTAACCGTTTGAGGTTTAATTTTAAGATTACATCCATCTTGTTCTGGTTTTCCCTACTGGAGTGAAAAATTGTCAATCTATTTTGTCATTTCCTTTTATTAGTTTGAAGACCTGTCAGATTCATCTTTAACCTCTTTAGCTCTATGAAATATAACACAGGTTCACCCATCCTCTCATCATAGTTAAATCTCTTCATACATGGATAGTTCTGATTACTTATCAATGGACTTGCTCTGAAGCCAGTAAATCCTTCCTAAACTCAAATACTCAAATACTCTGAGCAACCCTCAGTAGTACTTCCTTGCTTTTATATTATACTAGCTGTACTCGTTGCAGCTATGCTTGCAACCAAAGGATCCAATATGGAATGTAGATTGACACACAGATAGACATTTCATCTATATCTATACTCATCTGGGAGTACTCCTGTGGGAGGACTCAGTGGGAGGACTCGGCACTTTAAAAATGTAATTTTGTTGTTGTTGCCGCGGCTTAGCTTCGTCTGTGTTCTTTATTTTGTTCCCACCGCTTTGCTACGTATGTGCTCTGTGACGCAGGATGCCACAGAGCCACGATCAGCCGGCACAGCCACCAGGTGTAACTGCAGTGCGTGTGTACATACGTACGTGCTCTGTGACGCATGATGCCACAGAGCCACGTTGACTCAGTGGCCACCAAATGTAACTAAACCAAAAAAGCAAAACTGAAAATAACTCACAAACGAAAAGAGATACACAAAAACATAAGCCCATGTCACTCCCAGATGTAATACCTATCCAGTGAAGTGTAAATAATGTCTCTACGTCAATCGGTTATTGAGAGTCTTCTTGAAGTGCAGACAGACATTGTTGTTTTATTAGTATAGATTAGAATAGAAAATAGAATAGAAGAAGATACCTCGTGATAAATCCTAACATCTCATTATTCTTTTATGCTTTTGTATCTGCACACTCATTTTTAATTATGTGTGTATCTAGAACCCAAATATGTTTTGGTCAATTGCTCCTTGGTACTTTTACGAAACTATTTCCATCTGATGTTTTTACATCAACGGGGTTTACACTTTACACTTTATGTTGAATTATATCTGTCCCCATTCAATTTGTTTGGTTATTGTGTTGATATCCTTTTCCAGTGTTCTGTTCTCTTCACATAACACTGCAGTACCCATCTATAAATATAAAGATAAATATGGATGCACTCCCTTCCATTCCTACTTTAGATCATAAAATGGCACTTCCTGTCCATTTACCTCAATTTTCTGCCTCTTATCTCGCAACCAATATCCTAGCAAAGATACTAGGAAGTTTGTACGAAAACTTGGCGGCACTTATGTGGTGCTTTATCATATATCGTTGGAAAATCTATGTAGATTATTTTCCTCTGTCTGACAACTCAGTGGTCTGTCAAAGAACCTTTCTACAAATCCATGCTGAGACTTGCTGCTCAGTTAATTTGTTTCGGATGATAGATTGTAGTAATTTTTTCACTACTGATTTTAAAAATGCCATCCTATAGTTACTTGGATTAATCTTTGCTTTCTTTGGTAATAGTATAATATCTTCTACTTTCCAATCCTCTGATATTGCCCTCAATCCATAGAGATTTGCAAGATTATAACTAATGCATCTCCAATTCTCTCACCTACTTTGTTTAATATCTTTAATTGGGAAATATATGAGCATCTATACACATATATTGGGACACCATTGGGAATTATATGTGCCTGGGAATATGCTTTTGTCAGCACCATTGGTTTATCTATTACAATTCTGATGTTCTTTAAAGTCTTAAGCACTAAACTTATGGGACGTCCTCCCGACGTGAAAAGCGCTATATCAAATGCAAGGATTATTATTTATTATTATTAAGGAACTAAACACCAGATTAAAATTGTATGATTGATAGCAATTCTACTATGTTCATACGTAAATGCATACGCACACATGTAAAATTTTAATCTTTGATACAAAATTCAAATATCTTCAAAGTAAACTAATTTCAAAATCTCAATCTTTTGATCTGATTTGTTTTCATTGTACCAGGTTTGGATTGAAATGAAACTGCAATAAATTGACAATTATTTGCATGTGGTTTGTTAATTAACACTAGTGATAAAAGTAAATTAACTGGAAGATTATTATAAACCTTGTTGTATGTAGCTGCTATTGGGGCCAAAATTGCGAGCTAGGATGCGTAATTAACACATTGCATTCCAGTCTTAATTTAGAGATTGATTTATGGGCATCACTGCTCCCCCCTCCCAACAACTTCCTCAAGCATCCACCACTGCCTAATGGCTATTAGCCCATGGATAGTAGCATTGGTCTGTTTCATGGTATACCAAATTAACCAGAAAATCAGACCGGGGTATCAAAATCTTTGTTCCCTTCTGTCCTGCCTCTTGGGCTTAGATGGCCCTCTTTTTGTTGAAGGGCTGACAACCGTATCTGACATGTGGTCTGACCAAAGCATTATGCTGTTTTAATACATTTGAACTCAACTGATTTAGCAATGTAGGCTGCATCCTGTTAACTTGGTTTATTGCCACTTCATATTGTTTTTATATGGTGATGGTGAGTGATGAATCAACTAACACCCATAGGTTTCTTTCAAGTTTCTCCTTGGCAAGTATTATCATATCCATGTATACATGCATCTCGTATATTTACTTCTAATCAATAGTGCCTTGTGTTTACCTGCATTGAATTTAAATTGGTTAGTGATCAGACAAGTGTCTTGGCTGCCTGCTCTGATTTCACAATGTCCAGTATCTCGGTATTATTCTGCAAATGTATTTGCCTTGCACTAAGTCTGCAAATTCAGATCAATTACTGGAGCTGGAAAGACGAAAAAAAGAACCAAAGTGAAAATATAACTTATGAAAGTATAATTTAGAGATGTGATTTCAGAAAAATTCTTTGTATAATATTTTTAGCATTTAGGCTTGATAACATATCAAATTCAATTCCTCCATTATTTACCTAAACCATTCACTGAAAGTATATTTATATTTTGATGCAGTTTCATCCATCTTTACTTACAGAGTTGAAAGGAAAGAGCGAGCCAGACTTAAAACAGTGAAGTTCAATGCCAAGCCTGGAGTGATTGATATCAAAGGGGTAAGTGAAGAAAATCATTATGAAGTTTGAAATATCCAGGTGTTCTTTATTAAAATATAACTCGTAAGTCTTCTAGACAGCAATCAAGATGCTTACAGAAGTTGAGTTTGTTCAACGATTGTTCTACTCCACTGAAGACTCAAAGTATCTCAGCAATATCATGCCATGAATAATTTAATGTGTCTTAATGTTATATCGTAAGAAGGCAAATTTAAAAAGGGGATGTTCAATGTGACATTTTGCTGTGGCTTCTATTAAAATGCAATGTCAATTTTTCCTTAACATTTCTTTTACTAGGTTGCATCTTTTTAATCAAAATGGCAGATATAATCAAATTTCAGTAACACTGTACACCTTAATATTTTGTACTTGTATCCAGTAATGTAGTGCTTGTCATTCAATAGCCATTTCATAGAGAGAATGCAGAAAGCAACATCAATCACAACAACTTGCATTTATATAGCATCCTTCAGGTAGGATAATGTCTCAGAGCGCTTCACAAAGATGGGGTCAGATGCTAAGGCAGGGAAAAAGAATGGGGAGGAGGAAGGGGGAGGAGGAAAGGGGAGTAGGGAGGAGGAAGGGGGAGGAGGACATAGACACAGCCAAAGGGGTAGATTTTAGACAGGATTTAAAGACAAATAAAGAGAAGAAGGATAGAGGGATACAGGGAGAGTTCCAGAACAAAGAAACTGTAGGGAATATATGCTACCCCTCTGACGAATCTCTCATACGTGAGAGATTTTGTTTCAAAAAAGTTGGTGATGGTTGCACTCAGATATTGGTGGTAGGACACTTGTGTACAAAGATCACATAGCAGGCAATTTTTGAAACACTTAATGCAGATTATTAGGGAAAATGTTATAGAATGTCCTAATTTAGTCTGAAAATGTTGTGCAAGGTAAAAACGTAACTTGATTACACTTTGGAAAGAGTCTGTAAGACTATTTTTTCTTAACTTTTAAGATTGTGCAGAATTGATGAACAATTCTGGAATTCATTCTTAAATGCAGAAATCATTTTTTTGGCAAATAATTGTTTGGGGACAATAATTGTATTTAAACAGCATAAGGTAAATTATTACATACTTTATATCAAGTCTCTGTGTTTAGTAGGTATGAAGAGAATGTCGTCACCACAATCTCTTCTCCATCAGCTAGGTTTACTTCAATCATTAGCTATTGACTTTCTGAACGCACATTCTTGTTCATGAACACATATTTTTTTGTATCCAGCACGTAGTTCAGCATCCGCTGTAGTTCAGTTGTATTTGATAAATTGATCTACACTGGGAATGAAAGCCTTTAATTCAGCCTAATTCAAACAAACCAGGAAATCCGTCATTCATTCATCATCAAAGTAAGGAAAGTAACCCTAGTTAATGGAAAAAAGGAGAACTGGAAATGGCAGCATAGAAATATTAAGTATTGAACAATGGTACAAATCTATCAGGACATGGAAGTAACTGCAGAACCCTTTTCAGAACCACATCAGATTTCTGTAAATTCTGCTGGATTTGACGATAACTACAATCATTTTGGGAAATGTGTAAAATATATCTGAAGAGGCCTGATTTTTTTTAAATCAGCATTTTGAAAGGGAGAACATCTGGAGCCACAACATTTATAACAAAACATTTTTAACATAATACTCCATGCCATATGAGGGTATGTTGTATGGTCATCTCTCCATAAAGTTTTTTGGAGAATTTATTTGGGATTTTTCTCTCATGTACTTGTCTCCCAGCTTGTCTCGGCTTCCTTCAGATCAGCTGGAGTGACAGATTATTGATAGTGATTTTACCATATTTCTCGCTGTATCATTCATTGCCTGGGAAGTCATATCAGATTATATGGGGGCAAGCATTTACAGTAATACTCTGTTGAAAATTGCTTTTAAAAATTAATCATATCATACTAGTAAATGCATCAAAGGTTCTAATGATATCTCATAACCCTTCATATTCAATACATTTTACACACATGTATATATCATATGCAATAATAATGTGGAGATTGTGAAGTTAATTTATTCAGTACCGAATCTAGAATTTTTCACCCATAGATTTTAAGTGGAAAACATAGAGCTGCGATATTTTGTGTTGTTGATACATGATGGTTGGTATCCACCCTGAGGGACTACAAGGGAAAGGCACTCAATGAGAATGATGCGAGTTCTTTGACAGAGAAACATTTATTTTAAATTAATGATGCCCGATAGATCTTATTCCCCAGAGTAAACGTGCTCATTTGCTGTAAAACTTGTGGAAACTATTCACATTAGGCCAAATTGATTAATACAGGTCTGCCTAAACCTAGCAGGTCAGGCAGCATTTATGGAGAAAGGAAAGTGAGTCAACGTTTCAGGTCCACAACCCTTCATCAGAACAGAGGCATGTTGAAACGGAGAGGCTTTTAAGGGTTACCAGAGAGTGGGGAGGCAGGGCAAGGAAAACAAAGGAGAAAATGGGGTAGAGGACAGGGGATGATGGGTTAAAGAGGTGCTAATGATGCAAAACAAAGGGGTGGGGGATTGCAACAAAACAGGGGAAAAGAGGTGTTAATACTAAAAAACAAAGGTTGAGGGGGGTGGAAATTGCCACAAATCAGGCAGACCAGAGAGAGAGCCTGGGACCCAGATGTTGTGGTATTGGACCCGGAAGAGGTGAGCTGTTAAGGTCTGAAATTATTGAAATACAGCTCACCTTGCCCCTCTTCTGTGACTATTAACACTTTGTTTTGCATTATTAGTGCGTTCTCAAAGCAAGTAATATTCACTCCAGTTTTGCACCTGGCTTCCACCTATTCCTGTACCAAGTTGCTCCAATGACATGCTACAGGAAGGAGCTTGCCACTTTATATTCTAATTCCAGGTTGGTTCCACTTTATTTAAATTAGAATTAGACTATCATTAGATGGTAAGAATGTTTTTTTTAATATTTAAGGCCCTTTACATTTCAGGTAAGAAGATCTGATCTTAGGCTCACATGATGATCGTTGATCTTCCCTTGAATTCCAAAGAACATAGAAGAGTTTTAGACCACTTGGGAATAGTATGTTTGTGTGCTCCCTGCAGATGTCCTCCTCTGACCTTTAACAGTGAGAGACAATGTTAGTTTTTCACTAGTGTTCCTTAGAAACAATAAGTAAACATTGTCCTTATACTTTCAGGAGATCAGACCTTCCTCTTTTTCCTGGTCCTTTTCTATATTATGCCCAAATTGAATGGTCCAACAAGACCACAACTACAGAAGAGCAATTCTGTTAATTATTTGTGTCAATAGTTCTAGCTGCAGTTAAGTTAGCACATTCAAGCTATTAGAATCAGTTTAGCGTTTTGTGCATAAATATGTAGCCGATGTTGAAAACTTCATGCAGCTCACCATTCTGCACTATTGAAGATCTAACATATAATCATTGTACCTTTTCTTTGAAAAGGATGTCACTGAGAATAATGAAAAATACTAGTACAGGTAAAGTAAGAGCAAAACTTCAGTATATTTTGAACATTTCCATGTTAGCTTTCAAGTGCAATTACAAAATAACAATCGGTTATAGTGAAGGGAGCAGAATGTTATAAGACTGTTTAATGAACGCTCCAAGACACTACCCTGGGTTAAGGGTACAATATAAATGGAAGAAGTTTGTTGTGGTTGATGATGTTGTTGTTTACAGAAAGTAGTGTTTCAAATAATGCTCACAACTAGGCTATTATCTCCAAGGAATACAGTATAGAAGTGCTATTTTAAAAAGCCTATAGTGGCAGCTGGATCCCATGACATGGTTCTTGAACCTTTGGTGTTGCCATGACAATCAAAAACCTAACCAAGTGGTTCAGGTAACGGAATTTTAAAGCAGTGTACACTGATGCCACAATGTTGCACATATTTTGAACAAGACCTGCAATCAGAAAATTGGTTATATTTTTTAGTTAACGTAATTGGTGTTCAATGAAGGAGCGTGTTACAGAGCATATGACAACTTCTCTAGGGTCTAATTTCATTTGTACCTGTCGAAAGTCCAGCAGGACATTTATGTGCAACGTACATCAAAGTGCTTTCGGCTGTTAATTTGATCTTCATTTTAATCTTTCACACTTCAAGAACATTTATTGACCTGAACTGATTGCCAATGTTGCATAATTTTGCCATCTATTTTATTTTGCTTCCCATAGCAAATATAGGAATATAGGAACATAGGAACAGGAGTACGCCATTCAGCCCCTCGAGCCTGTTCCGCCATTCTAAAACAATTCTCCTTCACGGCCCTAAAGCTCCAAGCAGTAAATTCTGGTGTCCCTGAATTCTGGATCTTGTCAAGCTGAGCTTGAGACATTCAGTAAGCACACTCAGTAACTCATTCAGTGTGCACATTGCCTTAGATCACCCAAAATCTTGCTCTGTGATGACATCCCTCTATTGTAACATGGGTGATTCGTTGCGCAACCGGTACAAGGAAGAGCTTAATAATTTCGTAGGAGAATGGAGCAGCTCCAAGGAGAGTGCTGCCCAGTTGTCACACACCTCAATTTTTGCGTTATTCTCCAGCCTCCTGAAGTGAAAGTTAAATTGCCATAAGTTGCCCTTCAATGTGTGTAGCTGTTTGCCATTGCCTTGACAGGTGGTAATGGAAATCGGCCAGTGTGCATCTCAATTGCCCACAGGGAGGTCTAGTCAGCTACAAAACTACCTCAAAATTGATAACTATTCCGCTGCTCTAACTGATGTAAAAATGAAGGACCTGCAGTCTGCCAAGGTCATGCTGTTCCCATGGCAGTTTTCTTTATGTTTTTTGTTGGCTTTAGTCTGTTTCATAGGATCTGCTATTTTTCTATAAGATTGAATTGCCATTCTCTTGGGAAGGCAACTCTTAAAAGGATGACTTGATAATAGTATTGATAATAATCCTTCCATTTTGACATAGTGCCAATAATATTAAAATACTTAAGCATGTAATTCTTTTCAAGTGGTAGTGATGTATTAACAGCCGTGTTATAGGTAA